GAAAGCTCTTCTTCCTCTGTTGCGTAAATAGCTGCAAAGGCTTCAACTTCGGATTCAAATTGCCTCATTTTTGATGCCATGTTTTACAGTGTAATAAAGTATTTGTTTGTGGCAAAGTGATATATGTAGACAGGTGAACAATATTTTACTGCACGGAAAGCTCACTTAATATTTTTATAACTTTATAACTTGAATATGGCCAATTGCATGGTTCAAAATATGAAAATCTAGGCGTATAAAATCTTTTGAGGTGAGTGAGTGGTTGTTTAAATCCTCTCAGTAGTTTTGCCCCTCATTTCCAATAATTGTTTCAAGGTTCGCCGTCCCCCTCCTCCCATCCAATTGATTGTACATAGTTTGAATTTACAGCCTCATAATCCCTACTATGCCGGGTATTGCAAGATTCAATTTTTGGATTTTACGCAATGTTTTTGATTATGTGTAACTTGTTTTCTTTATTGTTCTTACAACCTCGTGGGTTTTCTCCGGGGCCTCCGGTTTCCCCCCCACTGCTAAAGACCCCTACGCGCAAGCGAATTATGTAAATAAAAATAAACCATGTTAGTCCCGAAATGACCTAGTTTGTGTCGAGTGGACGTTAAACCCCATTTCTCTCTCTCTTTATTGTTCTTAATGCTGGGTTGTAATTCATTGCTGTATTGCGCTTTCAAGTCGATAGTAAGAAACTCGGAACAATGAGAGTCGTCGCCGCTGTGTCAAAATCGTGTACGTGAAAATCTAGATGACAATATATAGAGGATGTTACATTAGAAATCCTTAACTACATGTGTCATAGTTTAGGCCCTGGGCATATTGAGAACTGTGACCGATAAGGGAACATGAGATATCCACCTAATACAGAAAATAGACCGACAAGTTATTGTATGACGATTACAAGGGTCAAATCTTAAATGGCCGTAATTTTAAGTATGTATAAATGAAGATTTAAAAAGACGGCTATCTTATCTTTTAGATGTCATGAACGTCACAGGTGATAAGGAGGGATTGGTGATTTATTTAGAGAATAAACGAGAAGGCACAAATCAACACTGTGAAGCGAAGAAATAAAAACCTCCCAAACTTGATACTTCAACTTTTGATGAGGGTGGCGTGAAGGGGTGTTAAATCTGTTTTACAAACCTAAGGGAAGTGGAAAAGTTAATGTAAAATGTATATCTTTTACAAAGGCTGGACACCGAAAAGAACACAGTTTGTGGGTGTTTATTCTTATTTGGAAAAGAACATAATTTGTGGATGTTCATTCTTATTTGAAAAAGAATTTCCCGAAGCCAGGTTTATACGCCCACCTTGTTTTGGACGTATTATGTAGTCGCATCTGTCCGTCCGTCCGTTCACATTTGATTGTGTCACAATCTTTACCAATTTTGATGAAACTAGAAATATGTGACGCATCACGGCATAATGAGTCGCAATGAAGACATTTTGAAAATTGAGTTACTGTTATTTTCACATTCTCCAACTCATTACCTTCAATGTATAGTTTGTTTGAACTGTGTCTATTTGAAGCTACCCAACTCACCAAATTAAGTTTTAGAAAAAGCAAGTGAAAGATTTGGTATGTTCCAAAACAAAATCCCATAGCAACCAGGCCATTAAGTTGCTCTTATGTCGTTGAATTTATCTTTTCGGGGGTTTTCAGGGGTGCTGAAGACAAAAATCGTAATAAAAATTTGACCCGACAATTTCCGCCATTTATTTGCTAATTTGTCGTTTAATATTTTTTCCATTTAGGATTTCAAGGGTGCTGAAGACGAAAATCGTAGTAAATGCGGCATATTCACATGACAGTGTTATACTGATGAACAATCTTTACATTAGTAGTCTATCTTTTGTATATTATAACTTTGGTAATCTCATCAATTAATTAGCACCTTAGTGCCACCTAGTGGTCAGGCGATTAAGGTTGTTGATTGGGTAATCATCAAAGAAGCCGCCACAGTTGTACGCGTATTCTTTTAACACGTGAATTAAAATAAGGTTTTGCGTGTACGATAGGTCTGTTATTAGAGACTTTTGGCAAGCGGAATTTTCCCATCCGTGTCACGTATCCGTATCGTATACGTGATACGTTGCGTCAATGTAGTTTTAGAGTTTTGGCAAATTTTCGCGTCGCGTACGTGTGCGTCGATCAGCTGAACTTAGTTCTATTACAGCATGATGGCAGATATCTACCAAGATCACCATCAGTACTAGTCAAGTGCCTATTAGAGCCGACAATTTCCCGGAGGAAATACAGTCGCTGAGCTATTAAAAAAAAATAATGTCGAATCTTATTAAAAATCTTCGACTTCGACTCGACTGCAATTTTTGGTTCACTAATGTATCATTTCAGAAAGTTTATACCCCTTTACCACAGAATAAAATCATTTACAGAATTGCAATGTTCCGTTCCCTAAATTTAGCACGTAGATCAACCATCGTGGTTAACATCGCGTCAAATATACACCTTCGTGTTCTAGAATACACAAAGATTCATAAAAACGCTACGATACAACAATTCCGCGTCTAAAAGTAGTAAAAAAGACGGTAAAAGGACACGACAATGTAATACGAACCTTTTCCGTTTGAAAGCTGTTCGATACGTGCTGCCGTATCCGTGTGACGTATCTCGTATGAGAAATGCACACACATTGATGACGTCACACGCAAAATCCATACGGATACGCGATACGGGCCAGAAATTTACGCTTGCCAAAAGTCTCTAATATTTCCAGGTACCGTAACGGTATCAAAATATGATTCCCTATAGAAATGGTTACGTTCATTTTCGGGCATTTTGGCTTTGATGTAATTAAACAATGGCACTGTTTTTCCCACTCGAGAATCGTCGCTATTTGGCACGTTGGTCGTTCTCATTTTTTCGACCCATGGTGTTAAGAGAATTTTAAATAATAATATCCAATATGCATTCCTTACTTTGCATGCCGCATGAAGAAGCGACAGTAAATGAAATTCAGCTATCAATAAAATTCTCCTCGAAAAGAAAATTATTAGCCATTTTGTCTATTTCCATTTAAGGCCTATAAATTATTTTTTTAAAGTTGAAACGAGATATCAAATAATCACCGATTGGATTAATTATTCCGAATCAGAGTAAATAATGAAATGTCGATGGCTTTATCATTGATCCGTGACAGTTGATTAGTATTACTCAGTGACTCACCGACTTGTCGATTAATTTACATAATTCTGCAACGTGGTTTTGACTAACTCTCAACGGCAATCTATACGATCAGAATTGATTTTTTCTCTGCCACTTATTAGAGTGAACCGCATGTAGGTACCCCAAAACATTATCGGCAAAACCAAATATATATCGTTCGCTCGAGTCTGCCACGTAACCATAATGTTTTCCACGCGGTGTCTTGGCCAATCAGCAAACGAGTTGTGTAGACAACATAGCAACAAGCTTTACAACGATGGCAATTATAATGCAAGAGGAATGACCGGTCGTCCCGTTGCGAGCTAAGAAAAATAACTAATTTCGCTGAGAACTTTAAGAAATAGGACAGATTTAAGAATACGGTACTCTTACAAAACGTCCAAATAAAGGTGTCGATATATAGTATATTTATAGACTCATTTTTGTGAAAATCTCAATTTCGATCAAAATCAATATTTCACTTATTTTCAAAATTAGATAACGCGCATTCCGGCTCATTTTGACATACCGAATCACGTATATGTTTATATCCCAAAGATCTCGATATTGGCACACTGTTTATAACGTGTTAAAATCAAAACATATTAGATGATTTTGATTTTTGTGCACATCAGACCTTTTGTTCAGGAGTTATTCCCTCTTTTCCAAAAACCTTTAGAAGGTGATAAAGGCTACATTTTATTTAACAGGTTGTTTTTCAACTTTGGTTTGAAGAATTAGGGTTATGGGAGAACGAACATGGTCGATGATCTGTGTTACACGACCTTTTGTTCTCGAATTATTTGTGAATGTGATAGTGGCCAAAGTTTTTAACCATCTTTTTTTTCAGATTTGGCGTGAAGCATCGGGGGTCCATGAGAGGACGAACCCTATCAATAATCAGTAATCCGTGACATTCCGTTCTGAAATCATCGTCATTTACCAAAAAAATCGTGAAAGCGATCTAGGCCACGGCTACAGTTTTTAACAGATTTATTTTTACTTTGATGTGAAGCATTGGCCCTATTTCCCAGTTAATCTATTTCAAGACGTGGGCGTAAATTGGTGGCAACCGCTTGTAAAACATTAACAAAGTGTTATTTGTATCTTCGTTATGATGCAAAGATTATGGCGAAGTTAATGTAAATATAGTAGGCAGATTTATTGAAGGATGATACTATTATGTAGTTACGCTTTAATCAACAATTCACCAGGTAAATTCCCGTTTTATTTATTTATTTATTTTTAGCCGGGTATGGGGTATCAACGGTGGACTAGAAATTTATACTAATTGATTTCTATAATATTTTTTATCACATATTACATGCAATTGTCGATGTTTCGTCGTCTTGCTTTGAAGTACTGAACCTAGGGCCCCACCCATGGCATTACCAATATCTTTCCTCCCGATCGTTTCTTTATAGAACCAATGCATAGAGCGGCATTACGGAAGATTAGATAAAGAGCTAACAGTTCTTGCAATAATAGTTAAAAATACTTCACCCGAAGCCGAGAAACCTCATTTTAATAAAAATGTAGCCTCGATTTTTATTGTTTCAGTTGTTACGATAATAAACAAAGTCTAGATAAAGAGCTAACAGTTCTTGCAATAATAGTTTAAAATACTTCACCCGAAGCCGAGAAACCTCATTTTAATAACAATGTAGCCTCGATTTTTATTGTTTCAGTTGTTACGATAATAAACAAAGTCTCGATCATCCACTTTTACGGTTAATCATCAACTGGTAAGATTTCTGGAAATTTCACTATCCTTTTCAAGTAAAAGATTATATGCATCAATTCTGGTTTGGGATTGCACTGATAACTGTATACTCACCTTGGACGGTAGCTAATGCGCCGAAAAGAAACACCGCCAGTATCATCATTAAAATCTACCAGACTGAACAACAATAATGTTATTTCGTGTCTATTATATGATTCCTTTGCCAGGTGACATATTCACATGTACCAAAGCTTATCTGAATTGAATCACGGGGAATAAATAATATAAGCTTTCATATTATATACATTTAAAAAAGTATAGCTTATTATTTGCCCATACTTGATAATCCGATAAAACGAACTTTGAGTTTACATGTAATTCGGCACGTAGTATGGCCAGACGGACTTATCTTTGTGCACAATGTCAGTATAACCTATGATGAGTGATACAAACACCTAAAGCCTAGCTTACAACCCGCCGTTCGTACTATTACGGGGAGTCTACGAGGGAAATTTTAGTAAACTCCTGCGTGAGACTTACGCGTCACTCGCGTGTGTTCGGCACCGTAGAAGATTACAGACTTGTGGTAGAGACTTTGTGTTCCTGTGCATGTAAATTCTACAGATTTTTCGAAAAATGACGAACGCATACAATACTTTCGTGGTCCGTACTGTTATTGTACGCCTGCATCAAGGTTTCTTGATTCCGGCTTGCGAACTACCAAACCTTACGACCCGTGTAATCGATAGAAAACTTGCTTTATTTTTCTTTTCGGCATACGAATCATTGTGGTCATAAAAAACGGACCCTAGGGATATTCAGCGGTGTCTTTGCTATTTCGGAAAGTGCAAACGGCAATCAACCATACCGATATCTATCTATTTTTTTTCCCCAGTTTGAACAGTTCCGAGTTTTAAGTTTTGACTCGATATTTTACCGAAAACTCGGTAAAAACAAATCCGACTTTTCGTCGTGTGCCGAAAACTCGGTAAAAATAAATCCGACTTTTCATCCTGTGCCGAAAACTCGGAAAAAATCCTTTATCTTTCGGAAAATGCAAATGGCAATCAGTTATACCGAAATCTCGGAAATCCTTTTCCCAGTTCTAACAGTTAGGCTTTGACTAAATATTTTACCGAAAACTCGGTAAAAACAAATCCGACTTTTCGTCGTGTGCCGAAAAATCGGAAAAAATAATTCCTAGTTTTTCGGCGTAGGATGAATAGTCGGATTTTTTCCCCAAGTTTTCGTTTTTTTGCATAGTGTAAAACGAAAACTTGGAATTTAAAAACTTTTTACATAATGTTGTGTTTGTATCTAAGGGGTTAATCCCGAAATAACCTAGTTTGAGCTGAGAGGGCGTTAAATCCCATTTCTCAATGTCTTTCTTGATACAAAATTGGCGAAGCTTGTTAGAATAAAACACATTTGTGTAGTAAATCACAGCTCTCGCTGTGTTTTTATTATTATTATTGTAAAGCCGCTACTCATCATATGTATTTTTTTGCACGCTAAAGTGTACTCAAATTGATTATTTAGCATTTAATTATAAAACAAAACAGAATCAAAATATGTTGGTCTTAAATGCGTGTGTTAAATTGTGCTTATTATACTGGCATGAAATGGAAGTTTACTATGCCAGCTACCCTTTTGTGTCGGGTCTTACAAAGATGCCACAACCACATTTCATATTCGGCAAGTATTTGGTGTTATTGGGTAGTTATTGGGTATTATTGTGTAACTGGGGGCACCCGAGAGCCAATGCCTTTCACGTGCAATTCCACTATTTTGCCTATCATAGCCAATATGGGGTTTTCAGAGTTAAGTTATAAAGAAAAAGCGCCAACGCATTTTATAAACCGAAAGTCGCATATTTTTGAGTAGAATAATACGAATAGAATAAATATCTAAACTAAGATATGGTTGACAAAATGTTTTATAGACTAATGTCTTTTAATTCAGCCACTTCGTGCGTTAAACTATGGAGTAAAAAAGCTAAGTCAACTTTATAACAAAACGCCTGTTACACAATAGGGGATATTGGAAACGTCCAACATTATTTGACACATGAAAGCGTCATTAATTAAATATCCTTATCATGTTAACCGTCACTTATGACAGTGGATTCATTAACATACTTTCGGCCCGTGTTGTGTAATATCCGTTGTCTTGTAATTTGTAGAGAAAGCTTAATCTGGCATTACGTAACAGCCCAGCTGTGCAACGCTGCGCAATCATCTTGATATCTAAAAGGGCCCAAGGGTATAAGGAAGTTAGTTAGAAGTTAAGTTGGGACCAGGTTAGAATAGGTTTTCAGTCCATGCCAAAGGGCGGCCAAGCTAGGACCGGGGACCGGGGATCTCTCAACACAAGTTAACTCTAATTAGGAGTCACTTATTTATAAGGAGTTTTTGTACTTTATATGTCTAAAAGAATAAAAGTATTATATGTAGTTACACAGGTACTGTCATCAAGAATCCGAAGAACCGATAATGTAACATATAAATTGGCGCTGTGTACCAGAGAAACCAGAAGTCCACTTTTAACCACTGACAAGATCAACATATTATAAGGTAGGCTTTTTCTGATTCTAACCATGGCTACAGCTAATCCTGACTTGAGTGCTATGTTCAATAATTTAACTGGGAAATTAGCGGTTTATCATCAACGCTTATACATCGTGGAGTAGCTCATTTGTTTCAAACATTTCCTGGAAACCCTAAGTTATTTACTAATTGGATCAAAAGTTTTAAGAAATATGACCCTTTAACGGATGTCCCTAACTCAAAATTTAAATGTTCCCCATAAGGCTAGTGTAGTGGAACACTACGTAACTATTTGTAGAGACATGACTAAAAATAAAAACAAAAAATACGTGCGCCTTTTTGTTTCGGGTGAGTCATGTTGTTTTTAAAAGATTGTAAGTTATAATTGTTTGTTTTGGAACACATATTTTGGCTTTTAAAATTAGTATTAACCAAGTATTAAGAGGTTTATATTCAGAAGTAAAAAAATATATATATTTTGTGATTGTTTAACTGGAATTGGTTAACAGTGTCTTAATTTGTCTATACGTGTATTGCCTCGATTATTACGGAAGAGAATTTATTTGTATTTTAACGTAGTAGCCCAAATATTATGGGATGCCCCGAAATTATGGGGGAGATTTTATTTGCATTTGTTTAACTGGAATTGGGTTAACAGTGTCGTAATTTGTCTATACGTGTATTACCTCGATTATTACGGAAGAGAATTTATTTGTATTTTAACGTAGTAGCCCAAATATTACGGGGGAGATTTTATTTGTATTTAGAGGAAGTGATTGTTTATAATATACCCTCGAAGTAGAAGGGTCGCGCTCATATTTGGAGCGAATGTGAAATTACGGGGAAGATTTTATTTGCATTAAGAGGAAGTGATTGGTTATAATATACCCTCGAAGTAGAAGGGTCGCGCTCATATTAGGAGCGAATGTGATGTTTTGTGTGTGTCTTGTTCGAAACTTAGAGAGAAGAACCTTGTCAATTTTGACAAATTCTTTCAAAAATGTCCTATTTAAGATTGATGAAATGTGTTCAGACCATTCACTATACTTTATCTTGAGGTAAAAACAATATGACCAAATCATATTTTAAATTTTGTTTATGTAAATTCTAATGTAAACATTATATAATAGATCGTGATCTAGATTCTGTTCCACTTGATTACCCAATTGAGTTCACTCCATAATATAAAATATAAAAGTAGATGATAAAACTTGGGCACGGGTGGCAGTTATAATATTTTCCATAGCACATGTCATAAAACATCGTTTGGCCAGACGGTATGTAAAGGGAAAAGACTAACGGACAAAAATAATGGCGGCCATTAAATATGAGGGAAATAAATTATATCCCTCTCTACACTTATCCACAAGGACGATGTAGTGAATAAAAGAAGAAATACCTCCCTATCTTCCACAAAGGAAAAGAAATATGAAAGGAGATGAAATACCTCGCGCTTCTTCATCGCGTGTGTTAAAATGTGTTGTGTAAAATGTGATCATACCCCCCCCCCCCCAAAAAAAAAACAACAGGGTAACGTGACCGTTGGTGGAATTTTTATTATATGTGATTGTGATGTGAAAAAAATGACCGTGAAAAAAAGACGAACAAACCAACGGGTATCGCGACCTATTTAAATCTATTTGTATATATAACCTTTAAATCAGTGTTTTGTTCTTTTGGCGTTTTACAGACTATTGTTTATTGGATTTTTAATCTGTATTTAATCTCTTTTGTATCATTGTTTATATTTTAGTGTAGTTATTGTCGACTCCATCATATATCACTAATTAACGATCTTAAAAAGTTATTTTATAACTTTTTCTTTCAGGATAAAGGGAACGTTAAAAAATTGGGGATATTGGAAACGTTCATCCTTATTGCCACTATTGACACATGAAATAAATATCCTTTATAAATGTTTTATATGAAATCAAACCTGTGTTGTCATCAAGAACCCGAAGAACCGATAGTGTAACACGCCGCCCTTAAAAAAGCGGCGAATAGCCTTCGCGTCGATTTTTCTACTTTATATTTTATTTATTGTTTCACTTTTACATCTTCTGCTTTAAATAGACAACTTTTTAAATCCATAGCATATAAATCAATACAATTATAATTATTTATTGTATGTAAACTCCCGATAATACCCCCCCCCCCCCCATTCCTCCAACAAACCATCAACAGATAACAACAAAAGTCAAATCAAAAACAAACGAGTTTATAAAATTTAGTATACAAATCAATAAAACTTTAAATATTAAAATACTCCTGTATTATACGTACGATTAAAATTATAATGTACAGTGTGTCGATTTCATGTATACCTTAGAACAGCCATATACAGTATATTTGTCTGGCATATAGTATGGCATAGATATTTACTATGACCTTCATACTCCAATCAAAGGGGGAGGGGGGTTAACGCGTGCGCGTTTGATCATAAGGCCTAACATTGAGTCAAGTGGTTTGGTTTTGAATCCCTGCTTGTACGTGACAAGGAATAGAGTGGCCTGTCCAACATGGTTTTTGCCGGTACCCGCGGTTTCCTCGAAATGCTAAAGACCCTTGCGTGCAAGAGCAAATTATTAAGATAAGATTGAACCATGTGTTAGTCCCGTAATTACCTAGTTTGTGTCGATGGACTTCAAGCCTCATAGATTCCAAGGTTCCGGGGCAAGTGTTAATCCCGCATTTAATATCAAAGAAATA